CGGGGAGGCGTGGAGACGGAAGCGCACGGCGAGTGGCGCACGGCGAGGCGCGGAGACGGGGGCGCACGGCGAGGGGCGCACGAAGCTCCCCATGTGAGATGGCTCCTTGGCCCCAGATCAACGCCACCTCCTGGGAGGACGCAGCCGCCAACTGCACGGGTGCCGCCAGCCTGAGCCGGCAGTGGGCCATCGGGGCCGCCCTGAGCCTCACGGTGCTGGTGACCGCGGCCGGCAACCTGCTGGTGATCCTCGCCATCGCCAAGACACCGCGCCTGCAGACCATGACCAACGTGTTCGTCACCTCGCTGGCCAGCGCTGACCTCATCATGGGCTTGCTGGTGGTGCCGCCAGGGGCCACCATCGTGCTGAGCGGCCGCTGGCCCTACGGCACCCTGGTGTGTGAGCTGTGGACCTCGCTGGACGTGCTGTGCGTCACAGCCAGCATCGAGACCCTGTGTGCCATTGCCGTGGACAGGTACCTGGCCATTACTTCGCCACTGCAGTACCAGATGCTGGTGACCAAGGGCAGGGCGCGGGCTGTGGTGTGCCTGGTCTGGGCCATCTCTGCCTTCATCTCCTTCCTGCCCATCATGAACCACTGGTGGCGGGACGGGGCCGATGAGGATGCGCTGAACTGCTACCAGAACCCGAGCTGTTGTGATTTCGTCACCAACATGCCCTACGCCATCGTCTCCTCCATCATCTCTTTCTACGTGCCACTGCTGGTCATGATCTTCGTCTACGCCCGTGTCTTCGCCGTGGCCACCCGGCAGATCCGGCTCGTCGAGCGGGACAAGGTCCGCTTCCTCCAGGAGCCCCCCAGCCCCAGCAGCAAGGGCCCTAGGGGCACTCGCTGGAGGAGACCCTCCCGGCTGCTGGTCATAAAGGAACACAAGGCGCTTAAGACCCTGGGCATCATCATGGGCACCTTCACCCTCTGCTGGCTGCCCTTCTTCGTGGCCAACATTGTCAAGGTCTTCTACAGGTCCCTCATCCCCGGCCAGGTCTTCCTCTTCCTCAACTGGCTGGGCTACGTCAACTCGGCCTTCAACCCCATCATCTACTGCCGCAGCCCCGACTTCAGGAGCGCCTTCAAGAGGCTACTGTGCTGCCCCCGGTGCGCGGACCGCAGGCTGCATGCCGTCTCCAGGGACCTCAGCCGGTGCCCGTGCGCCTTCACTTCTCAGGGATCCTCCCCGGGAGACAGCAAGCCCGTGGTACTGGGGCAGCCCCCCGGGCAGGAAGAGGATGGGGGAACCAGCAGCAGCAGCAGCCGCTCCAGCAGCAGGAGTGGGGAAAACATCCTCTCCTACCTCCATAGCAATGGGAACGGCCATGCCCAGCGCCCCCTGTGGGAGATGCAGCTGCAGGGCACCCAGACCACTCTGTGTCTACAGATGGAAGAGTAGGTATCAGTGGCCACAGCTACGGGGAGGGGGTTTGAGCTGGCTGGGGGCGAGCCCCTGGGTTTGCATGGGGTCAGTGGAAAGTATTGGGAGCTGGTGCTTGGAGAAGCTAGAACCGGCTCCATTCGTGGAAGAGGTTAAGCCGGGGATGGTCAAGGGATAGCCAAGGTCCAGAGAACATTTGAAAAACACGATAATGAGTCAATGAAAAGATTTGGGGGTTTGTTCAAAACCAGCCAGTGGTCCCAGCTTTGGCCCTGGCTGTAAAGCACAATTGCAGAGTCCACCCTTCCCTCCAGGCTCAGTGTCACCGGTTGATTTAAAGCAGGCCGAGATTTCCATTCCGCACAGGGATGCCTGGCCTGAGCTAATCCCACGCAAGCTGTCCAGGAGACTGTTTATCCATCCCTGGAAAAAAGGTGTTTTCTGCCAGCACCAGATGAGCCTGGGCCAGAAGCTGGCGCCGTTACAGTGACCTCGCGCTTTGGAAATGAGACTCCTTGGGAAAAAACCATCCCTATCCAGTTAGGCACTTCCAAATTGAGTTTGTTATGGGAAATCCCTGACAGTATCCAGTGTCAGGATGGGAAGGAGGGCCAGTGCTGTAAAGGTTTTAAAGGCAGATGGTACCTAGTGGGCTTCTCAAAAGCACCTGTCTTTGCAAACCTGGCAGTTAATCTAGAATTCCCTGCCTCCCGTTTGATTTGCCTAGTCATTGTTTTTCAGTCCGATGCAACCTAATTGTTTCCAGATTTCTGGTGCCCCCGTCCTAGCTTAAAATGAGAGCTTCTTGAGAGGTTTATCAGCTAAATATAACGCCAGCAATAAACAGAAAAATATGATTTGTTTGTTTTCCAAGAAGCTTTACTAAAATTAAAATTTTACTAAATAAAATCAGCTGTGTAAACACGTACACGTCGGGATTGCCCTTCATAAAGAACAGAAGACTTCGGAGTTTGGCCCCTTTTAGCCAATCAGAACATCCAGTAACTTCCTGCCAAGACCAGGAATGTTAGTTGTATTTTTGCTCCGTTCTGGAGCTGAAATAAGTTTTTCGTGTCTCTCTAGTGCGATGCTCGTGTTTCTCACGTGTTCTCTGGGGAGGCACTTCCAACCCCAGGCTGAATCCTGAAGACCTCAGTCAGTCCATACACATGGGGTGCGTCTAGACTACAGGGTTTTGTCGACAAAAGTGGACTTTTGTCGACAAAACTATACCTGCATCTACACGACATAATGTCAACAGAACTCGGCAGTTTTGTCGACGGTGGTCAACCTCATTCTACGAGGAATAACGCCTTTTGTCGACAGAAGGCGTTATTGCATCTACGCTGTCCTTTGCGTCCACACTCTCATGTCGACCAAGCGGCTCACTTTGTCGACAAAAGCTTGTAGTCTAGACATAGCCTTGGAGATCTCCCATTACAGCCGACTGGATTCAGTCAGGACTAAATACATCAAAATCGACCTGTTTCTATCTGCTAACATAACCCTGTCACCACAGTGTTTAAACTCCATTCCCAGGCTAGATATCCATTTCTGATCTGTGACCCAATACGCCAGACGCTTTGAAAACATAAGTTCATAGGGACAGTTGCCAATTCATAATTATTTTTGTTATTTATGATTATGAATCAGACTGTTTATTTTCAGGACAAACCATGAAGTCTCGACTGAGGCCTAGAGCTGGTTAGTGGGTTTCTGTGGGATTTTCTGGGAATTTTTTACTGGGTTTGCAACAGTTTGAAATTTCTTCAAAATATTTCAATTGTGAAATGTTTTCAAGCAGCTCTCAGGACAGTCACCCTGCCCGGCCACATGCACATGGCACTTTTCAGTGAATTTGTTAATTGGAAAGAAAGACGGGGAGGGTTGTTGGTCACAGACAGAACTTTCGGGGACGTGCTTTTCCTTGACGTAGGTTACTCTGGCTAGTCCTTAGCGAGGCAGAGTTCCAGTCAGCTGTAACGGGAGATCTCCCTGCGTATGGGATGTCTCAGGGCTTCGGGTGTCGGTCTTGTGTTGACAGTGCAGCACCAGAGAACACAGCACTTTGGGCCACACCTGAGAAGTCCAAGGCCCCTGCTGGCAGGCTTTGCCGTGTGACTCAGACAACACGAGGGCAGAGTGAGTGGAGAGATGAGTGAAGCGATACCGCAGAAGCAGTGGGTTTTAAGGCGGGATTGATCCATGACATGGTCCCTGGGTAATTTCTCATGGAAGCGGTCAGTTTCGTGCATGGCACGCGTGAGTAGTGCACAGAGACTAGCTGGGAGGACGTAGCAGGTGAGAGCAAGCTGAAGATCTGGAGTGTCTGTTCCGCAGCGCAAATCCACCCAAATGAAGCCGAGTTGCTCTGCGAAACACGCCGCCCCAGGTGTAATTTCTCAGGGGATTCAAGGTGAAATCTTGCGGCCATTGAACTCAGGGGCAAAACCCCCACTGACCTCAGGATTCAAACCAGGCTCTTTGGCCTCTTTAAGTCTCGCTTGTTTGTCTGGCTGTTCCCTTCATGTGGCCGTTATGAAGACAGGCAAGGAAGCGAGAGGAATTACCTGCCAAAGAGCCCATGATTAATTTAGTGTCTTGCTTTTCAAAGATTTACCTGCACTGAAGCTCCTTGAGCAGCTTGAAAGGGAAGGAAGAAGAGAAGGAAGTAAGTCTGGATCTCTAATCGCTTGGAAAATGCTGTGATATTCCTTAGGGTTTGTGGGGTCCTGTTGCTGTACTATTACACTGGCGCCCTGTGCCCGATGCAGCCCGGGGCGGGGGATGGTTTTTAGGGCTGTGATTCCATCACCGGCAGCCCCGCGCTAGGGAACTAGCTTTAAAGCAGAATTGAAACGCGGGTCCTGTCGACTCGCACAGTCAATTCAGACACGGGCAGGAGGGACCTGGGTTGGCAAAGGGCTGTTCAGCGGCTTCACTCCCACTGGAACGGCTCCTTCCCAGGCTCCATGTCTGCTCGCGGCTCTGCCAGGCGGTGCCACTTGCACGTGAACTAGCCCCTCTCCGGAGGAAGCAGAGCCCCAGAGCAGGGATGGGAAGAGGCGGGAGGGTGGACACTAGGACCCAGCGGTGCCCCACATAGCTGAGTATTCTGCACATGGGTAAGGACGGCCCTAGATAGTCCCGCTACTATAGGTTGTAATTCCCTTCGCCGGGGCTTCCTGGCATCTGTGGCCTGGCATGTTCCTGGGTCCCAGAGCCCAGGGCGAGGGAGGTCTGGTGGTGGGGCAGGAGTGCCGTAAGAGGCACTGGCCACTCAGCCGGGAGCACAGTGTGGGGGTGCTGAGGGGGGAGGCCAGAGAGCAGGGCAGGGAGTGTTGGCCCAACGGGAGCTCCCTGGTCCCAGCATCTGGGGGGCTGTAGCCTGGCTACGGCTGTGGACCCCCGGAACCAGCCAGCGAGCCCCGGCCCTGTCCCTCCATCCTGGCCACAGCGCTCCAGGCCCGGTTGCAGAGCCAGGTGGCTGCAGAGCTCTGGCCATGGTGCTCTGGCCCTGGCAGTAGCAGGGCTGGGGAGAGCCCCAGGGGACTGAGGCAGCAGCGGGGGCAGGCGGGAGCCTGAGCCCGGTGGCAGCAGGACCATGAGGGGAGGGAGCTTCCTTGGTCTGGCAAATCCCCTCGTTCGGGACCAGTCAGGTCCCCAGGGTGCTGGACCAGCAAGGTCCAACCTGTAGCAGCATCACGTTTTCAGAAGAGCTCAGGGTGCTGAGCACCCACGGTTGGCATCTGCAGGCCGGCTGAGAGGAGGGGCCAAGGGGTCAGTCACCCCGGGGCCTCAGGCTTCAAAGGTGTCTGGGACTCCTGGCCCCCACTGCTACTGAGGCAGAGAGTGGGCCCTTTAAATCACCGCCGGAGTCCTGTACATTCCATGAGTCTCTGAGGACTGGGAGCCTTGGCCCCGCCCCTTCCCCAAGTCCCCGCCCCTTCTGGGAGCATGGAGCTCCTCCGCACCTTGCCAAGGGGCCCGCACAGGCTGTCGGCTCCCCTGGGTGTCAGGTTTCCAACCGAGCTCAGCACCAGCCAGACCCCCAGTGCGCCCAGCTCGTCTTGCAAACCTGGTCACGAATTTCAGCGTTGTGCATGGAATTTTGCATCTTTCCGCGTGATTTAGACAAGGACGCCAGAGCCCTGAATTCCCTTTTGAAGTTGTTTTTCCCAGCGAGGTAGCATTCAAATCCATGGCCACCGCTTTACATTTCCATGGGGAATTATCACATCATTACCTAGTAATGCTCCGTAGATAAAGATCATAGAGCAAATACATAGGGATAGCAACGGCCCAGATCCTCAAAAGTATTGAGCTTCCTGTCTTTGCTGACGTTAGGAGCCTTAAAGCCGTCGCGGCGCTGAGCCAAAATGCTTTGACACCCCGTGGGAGGGAAGCTCTGTAGAAATGTTTATTTCTGTAAATCGGTTTGGATGAAAGGAGCACCAGCGATGGGGGGAATGTCTGGAATTCACCGTTGGGTTTGGAAAATGTCAAAAAATTCCAATGTGCCTTTCTCCAAACTGCCCAAGGATGCAAAATGGGGTTTCAGAACAGACTTCCCCATAAGAACGCTGGGACCTCTGCTCGGAGTCAGAACTAGGAAAACCCATCAAATCCAGGTGTTTCAGAACCTCAGAGGGGAGCTGTGATAGTGCGTAACTTTACAAACTACCAGCAGGCCGGTGGCGCCCTAGAGATGAACCAAAATATAGACGATATCATGAGCTTTCCACTTCCTCAGGACGCTCATGATACTACGTATAGCTTTGCTAGTCTCTAAGGTGCCACAGGACTACTCGTTATTTCAGAACATTGACGATCATTCAGTCCAAATGGCACATAATAGTTGAAGGCAAAGATGGCTACTTATTTGGTCATTATTGGTGCCTTTAGCTCTAAGGAGAACCACCCCAAACCTTTGCCCAAAATGTCACCTGGAGGAGACTCTTTTCTGAGACTTTTCTGAGAAATTCTCTTCTCGTATTTGGTTTTTTTGTTTGTACTGGCCCCTGGGTCTCCTGGGCTGAAAGCAGAGACAGCGAAATGTCACCAGAATATACAGAGGTATCTTGGCCCATCCAAAATTGGGAAGTCCCAGGAAGCTTTTGGGAGAAGACAGCTCCCATGAGATTCCTACGTTAGAAGAGCAGACACCAAGGGTATGCCTAGACTACATGGCGCCGTCGACAGAGCCATGTAGATGAGTTTACTAGACATAGGGAAATGAAGCGGCAATTTAAATAATCGCTGCTTCATTTACATAAAATGGCCATGGTGCTGTGCCGATCAGCTGTTTGGCGGCACAGCGCGGTAGTCTGGACGTGCCGCGGTCGACAAGGGAAGCCCCTGTAGACTGCCTCGTTATGCCTTGTCGACCGCGGTGCATCCAGACTGCCCCGCTGTGCCGCCAAACAGCTGATCGGCACAGCACCATGGCCATTTTATGTAAATGAAGCGGTGATTATTTAAATCGCCGCTTCATTTTCCTATGTCTAGTAAACTCATCTACATGGCTCCTTCGACAGAGCCATGTAGACTAGACATACCCTAGGATACCAACCTGTGTGGGGTTTGCTTGTCCTGTCTTAGCTGCAAGTCACCTAGGCTCACTGGAAGCGCAGGATCTCGGTGTGTCAGGACAGCCCTGCATGCTCCCAAGTATGGTCTGGATCCTGATCCAACAAAGCGCTGAAGCACATGAGTAACTTTAAGCACATGAGTAACTTTAAGCACACACGTAGTCCCTTTGATTGCTCTGTTACTTTATATATCACTAACACGCTTGAGTTACTATAGTGTACATGCTTCTGTTCCACAGGATGCATTTCTTTAAACTTCAATGGGACTTAAGCGTGGGCTTAAAGTTAAGCATGTGCTTAAGAGCTTTGGGTATGGCTACACTACCCACCCTGGCTCAAACTAGGGTGGCTAATGTAGTCATTCAAACTTGTAAATGAAGCCCGGGATTTAAATATCCTGGGCTTCATTTGCATGTTCCCGGGCGCCACCATTTTTAAATGCCCGGTAGCTCAAACTACCTGCCCGCGGCTACACGTGGCACAGGCTAGATAGTTCGAATTAACACTCTTAATTTGAACTTCCTAGCCCGTGCTGTGTGTAGCTGCGGGCAGGTAGTTCGAGCTACCGGGCATTTAAAAATGGTGGCGCCCGGGAACATGCAAATGAAGCTCGGGATATTTAAATTTTTCTTGCAAACTACAGTTAATTCTTTCTCTTTCTTTCTTCCAGGGATGTGTCAAAGCCCCTCTCCTGGGCCGTTGCTCTCGGTTTGTGTGTCGGCTCCTACCCCCCCCAAAGATGAAGACGCGCAGCCCCCTAGTCTTTTTACTTTTGAGGTTCACTCAGGTATTTTGAACGTCCGTCCCTTCATTTCCTGCCTGCTTTCCAGGCTTGGACACTGCATAGAGGAAATTGGACCTGAAAGACACGTGTGACATAGGGGAGGCGTCTTTGGAACCGGTCTTCCCTGTACACATGGCAAACGGGCAGGAAAGAGGTGGTCTCCCGCTGTCGTTAGTTATTTCCAGCAAGAGCCCCTGACAGACGTTGGACTGATTCCCAGGTGCCGGCGGCTGCGCCTAGAGAGGTTACTGTGACTTCGCCATCTCTTGTGATGGCTGGCTAGAGTCAGGGCTAGAAGGAGCCCCCGCGCCTGGAGATGGGACGTTGGACTCAAGACGAGAGACCTCCCTCCCCGAGGCTAGGCAGCTGAATTTGAGTACTGCTCGGGACACGGGTTACATGAGGAACTGACCGAGCTCCCGGGGACCAGCGTGTGTAATCAGCCTCCAGAGAGGCTCCAAGGGAAGGAGACGCTTCCTGTATCGACAGCAAGAGAATTCCTACCTCAGAAGCAGCGAGTCGGAATGCAGCTGGAGTCTGAATCTGGGAGCCAGACCTGGATTCCCTTCGAAAGGGGCCCTGGCAGGGCGGGGGCTTCAGCAGACCCCTTTGTGCTGCCGTTCGTGGCCGGAAGCAGAAGACACGGGCGCACGGGGCTGCCCAAGCAGGCCCAGGACGTTGGCTGCGTGAGCGTGTGTTTGTCTGGCCGTGTTACGTTTCTCCATCGGATGCGACCGAACCGACTTCATTCGCCTTTCCTGGCGCTGACGCTGCGTGCGTAGAACACGGCCGGGGCCCAGGCGTCTCACGAACCAGAGACCAGCCCCATATCTTCCCTGCCAGTCTGGGCAGAGACTGCTGGGGCTGGGCCAACACAGAGGCAGGGCCGCCCCGTGGCACACGCAAAATACGCAGCAGTGTCGGGCACCCGAAAACTTGTGACACCCCGTGTTTGGGTGCCCCTATGCAGCCGCATGGGCTTGTGTGCCTTTGGATGGTCCCAGCACCTCCTCTGCCTGGTCCCTCTCTGGCCCCTTCCCCCTTCTCTCCTGCCCATGGTAGCCCAGCCGGGTTCTCCTTGCCCTCCCCCTGCCCCCCAGATGTGCCCTTCTGCCAGCAGCCGGCCACTAACTGAGGGCTCCCTTCTGCCAGCCTTGGGGTGGAGAGGGGCTGCGGCAGCACGTCGGGTTCCCCTCGATCCTGCACCCCGTCGGCAGCAAGATGAGACTCCGCCAACCAGTAGAATAGAGGGGAGTTTATTGCTCCCCCAGGACAGCACAGACGGGATGTGGTTCCAGGAGTCAGGGCCAGGATGCCTCAGACCCCTTGGATTAGGGGGTCCATTGTCATCACTAGATCGTCAGCCCCCAGCTAAGGCTGCTTCATGTTCCCAGCCAGCAACTGCCCCTTCCCCCGAAACCTCCCTTCCTTTGTTCCCTGCCTGCCCTCAACCGGTCGGACAGGTTGGGTCTTTGCCTAGTGACTTAAGGCAGCCGTCCTGCTGGGCAGAGCTACAGGTACCAGCCAGTAGGGAAGTCCGAGGCTCCTGGCAGAAGCCACGGGGCCCCATACGTTGTAAGGGCAGCCCTGCACAGAGGGCATGTCCACATTGCAGTGACAAACCCGCAGCTGGCCTGGGCTTGTGGGCCTTGGGCTCAGGGCTGTTTAATTGGGATGCAGAGATCCCGTCCCCGTGCGGAGCCCTGGTTCTAAGACTCTGCAAGGTGGAGCCCAGACCTGAGCCCGAATGAAACCGCCCCACAACGAAACCACCCAGGAGCTGGCGGGAGCTGGCCCGGCCAGCCGCGCGTTTGTAACTGCAGCGCAGACCCACCTGCAAAGGCCCGGAGCTGCAGAGGGAGCCTGCAGTAACACCGTCAACAGCGCCACACACAGGAGAGAAAACCACAGGAGGGGACATGGGGAGTGTGACGTAGTGGGGGGTACTTTGCTGGTGGCTGGGCAGTGGGTTGGGAGTGACCTCCACTGGCTGCTGGCTGCAGCACGGCCCAGCAGGGCAGGGGATGAGTCATTATGCAAGGGGGCTTCCAACCTGTCTGACCAGTGATCTCCCAGGGAGCGGAACAATGGGAAGAAGGGGAGTGGAGCCCTGGCTGGGGGCAGGGCTGGAAGTGAGTTAGGTTTCTGGCTGGTATCATGGAGGAGACAGCCCAGGGAAAGGGGCTGGAATGTAGGGGCCCAGTCTCCCCCATCTCAAGGGGGGCTGAGGCGACCTAGGCCTGCCCTGGAACCAGATTACATCTGTGCTGTGCTGTATCCTGGAGAAGCAATAAACTCCCTCTAGTCTGGGCTGGTGGAGTCTGTCCGTGCCACTACGGGGGTGCAGGAGATGGGAAACCCCAACGCGCTGTCACAGGGAGTCACTGAATATTTACCTCCCCCGCTCCTCAAAGGCCCCTAACTCCCATGAATTTCAGTGGCACTGAGCACCCAAACACAGGCGCAGTAAATCAGACCTGCCGTAGACGGTTCAAACCCACCAGCCTCTTGCAACAAGCAGCGCTGCAGGGCGGAGGTTCAGAATGCCCAAACTTCCTAGCTCAGGGGTTCCCAAACTTTTCAGCATCACGCCCCCTTTTTGATTTTTGAGAGACCCTCATGCCCTGCCCCCTAATAGCAGCAAAACTTGTTGGGCAAAAAAAAAGGAACTGACCGGGTGAATAGCAGTGAAACTTAGGGGGGGAGATGGACGGGGAGGTGGGGTCGCCTCGTGCCCCCCTTGGAATTTCTGCACACCCCCCAGTTTGGGAACCCATGTCCTAGAACATCACCGGTGCACCAAGCCGAAGGGGGCACTTGGAATTCTCTGCGGGTTGCTACACGGAGGCCCTGTGAGCAGGATAAGGCTCTTTTGTCTGCCTGGGCACAAAGGTCCCTTGGCACATTTCGGGAGAGTCCGAGATTGGCCAGGCTCCCCCCCGTCGGTGCAGTGGGATATCGCCCTCCGCTCCGGAGGCAGCTGCACTGTGTTGGGTTCGCCCAACGTGCTGGGCTGCTCCGGATGAAAGGTGTTATTCTAGCTAGGACCCACTCAGCCATGGAGATATAAACCTGGACAGGGGACAACCATCCAGCGAATCTCTGGTTGGGCCTTGGAAATAACCCCGCGGAAAGGTGGTAACCCCCGTATGTTCTGTGCACGCAGGGCCGGATCCTGCAGCACCGGGAGCGAGCACCCTGCAGGGCTGAGCCGCAGGGTGCCACCCATTGCTTTTGCTTTCTGAGGTGGGTCCTGTGAGCTCTAGGTCTCAGATCCGCAAAGGGATTTAGTCAACTAAAGTCTACTGAAGCCCAGGGGAGTTAGGAGCCTCCGTAGCTTTGTGGCCCACGGAGGCGCTCAGCATTTGCAATTCCCTGTCATCGGAGCGAGAGCTGCAGGTGCTTAACACCTCTGAAAGCCAGGGCCCCAAGGCCTGTTCCAGTCTAGTGTCAGGCCCACGCCCCGAACTGTGACTGCTGGTCTCCGCGAATAGCTGTACCAACGGTACCCCCGAATGGAGATCGAGTAGATCCGCCGAGTTACCAGCACCAGCGTTCCGGCCTGGCTGGCCCCGCACGGCCCTCAGACGCAACCAGGGAGCAGCAGAGACCAAAAGATAAAGCGCAAAGGCAGCCCAGTGCCGTGCACGCGCCTACAACAGGCCGGGAAGCAGCCCTTTTCTCCTGTCCCGCAACGTGGCGCCGCTACAGCCACACAGCGCCGGCAGGTCTGGCGCTCCCTGAAGCAGCCGCGGGGTTTGCCCTTGGGGTCTGAGTCTCCTTTTGGCCACAGCATCCTGCTGTAATCTTAGAAAGGGGGCCTGAGAGTGGCGCATTTCCTCTCCCTGCCAGAGCGGTGAGAAGTGACTGAACCCTTGGACTCTTTGCTGTAGACCGGTGCAAGTAGCATCATGTACAACGGTGCCCTGCATGCATGCTGATGTGCAGATACCCTGCTTGCTGGTCAGAGCTTTCTGAGATGGTTTTGGTTGTAAATATGACGGGGACTGTCTTTTTTTCCGCCATGTGAAATAAGCCTTCCAAAATTCCCAATAGTCACTTGTAAATAAATATATAGATCCACCTGACCCCAGGAGGGCACTGAAGTGTTTCTTTTAAATGGGGAGACCCGTCTGCGGCTCTGCTGGGGGCGAGCTTTGGTGCAGTCTATGCTTGGGGCCAAAGTAGCTGCCCTGGCTAGACTCCCCTGCAGAAACCCTAGTTCTGTCTCCGCTGGGGGCTTTGCTGATGCCAGAAGTGGGGTTCCACAGGGATGCTGAGTGGGGCGTTCAGAGATTTTCCAAGGCACAAAGGGCAGTTTGGCTCCCAGTTCTCAGGGCTGGTTTACACTGGGAATTTCCTAACTGCATGGCTCACGGGTGAAGGAGGGAAGTGGAGTACCTGCCAGGGATGGGAACCCCATGGCTCTGAGCCCCAGGACTCGGGGCTCTGGCACGTCAGCCCCAGCCCCCCCAGGACTGGCGTGCGAGCACCATCTCCCTGCTGCTGGGGGGGAGCCATGAGCCTTGCAGGCCGGAGTCAGGCAAGCTGGGGCCGGGGCTGGATCCGACCGCTCTGCCCGGTAGGGAGGAAGTGACTCCTCTTCTCCTCCCTCCCCCAGATGCAAAGCGCTGCCTGGAGGCTTTTCCCCACTGCTCTGATTGGCTGCAATCGGAGTGGCGGGGAACACGGAGCCATGCGCATCCCTGGGGAGCTGTGCCAGGTGAGCACTGCCCTTGCCCAGACCCCACACCCCCCCTCTGCTCCTGCTCCCCCCTCCTCGCCAGACCCCAAACCCATTCCCCGGCAGCCCCTCCCACACACTGAACCCCTCATTTTTGGCCCCATTCCAAGGCCTAGCGAGTCCCTCGAGGGGACGTTTTTCAGAACAGGTGAGATGCTCAGGGACGGGGGAGGGTTACTTGGTCCTGCCTCCATGCCCGGAGTTGAACTAGGTGGCTTCTTGGGGTTCCAGCCCTTTGTTTTTATGGGTCTATCCAGTACGTAGTGCGGGAAGCTGAACGGTTTCTCCTCTCAGGGTAGCACTACAGTAATTCCCAGAGCCATCTACTGGCACAAGGGAAAACACCATCCCCCCGACCGTGGGAGAACCAGTTTGGCAGATCTGCCACCAGGCCAGGGTTCTGTTAATGTGGATAATGAGGGGTTTGTAACATTGTCGCTCTCTCTTTGATTTGTGATCGTTTGCCAGACACATTGGCCAGCACCCGGCAAGGACAAAGCTGCTGCACATTGAGTTCAACTTCATTTTTGTTTGCAAGTTCAAACATTCAGCCTCACCTGTCCCCCGCAGACAATTGGATGAATCTGCAGAGTTCCTGGGGGAGGAGGGGTACTGAGACTGTTACTGACTCATTTAGAAACAGTGGCTAATCATTTAGCCTAAAGCTTAAAAAAAACCTGATCATGAACTTCAGAAAGTAAGAAACCTGGCGGGTTCTTTAAGGGCCGACTCCTCAGCCCATGTCACTCCAGACACCACAGGGGTGATGGCACCTGCCGAGTTTCTGAACCTCCAACAACAGCCACAATCTAACTTCTCAGCAAGGCTCAAACCAGCCCCAGTGGGTTCTGCCGTCAGGCCGGGAGGCTCGTCACAGACACTGGTGAAATCAAACACCCTGCAGTGTGCGTCACTTCATCGCATTATTTACTAGACTAGAGACATGCTAGAAGCTGCTGTTGTTGGGACCGGTCCCAAGCCCAAGGAGGTCAGTGGAAAGTTGCCCAGTGACTTCAGTGGGTTTTGTATCAGGCCCCTGCCAACATTCATGCAGATGTTTAACTTTATGTAGTCTGAGCACTTCCCTGGGATGACTTGGCATGTGGGCGAGTATTTGCGAGAGCCAGGCCTCCATCTCTAATCAAAGTACATCTGCTATGAATGGCCAGAGAGGGGTTTTTAAAACATCTCCAATTTCAATTACTTCATCGCCACTCTGCCGGGACCACACCCTGCTGCCCTGGAGCAAGGCATGCAGGTGAGCTAGGGATGGTTAATTTCACCCACAGACAGGTGTGTGTCTTTCATCTGCATTTCCTGTTGCTCTTCTGCTTGGGTCGCTCCCCAGCTCACCGGCCCTTCACCGGTTATCAGTCTGGGCTCACAGATTAGGAAGGGGGCTCTGCTCGGCTCATTTGGTTTGTGAGCACACTGATGGAACAAGCATTTTACAGACTGCAGGTTTGGAGGGGGCTTTCACTACTAATTCTGACTTTGGGTGGGGGCGGAGATCCATATGCTTGTAGGTTTATGAGCGTCTCAGATTGTCCTGGATTAACCCTTCCTTTGGTAGTTGAACTCCCAGCTGCTTCCACTCACAAGGGGAGGGGGTGAGACCAGTTTGAGCAACCTAATGCTGCTAGGGAGGGTGCAAAAGGCAGCGCGTGTGCTGCGCAGGACTCGAGAGGCTGCGGGAAGGCTGGCAAACTCTGGGCACTTCAAATGAGGCTGCGGTAGGAGGGGACCCTCACCTGTCCTGTTCAGTCTGTTGCCTTTAGCCCTGAAGAGACTAATGTCCACTCTGGCCTGCGAAGGGGAGGGGCTGTTCTCTGCGGGGCCCTTACTTTGCAGAGCTCCCGACTTCATCCAGGTTTGGGAAATCATCACGGGAGCTTTACTAGCCCAGGCAGAGTCAGCTACGACCTGACCTGACCGGGGTGCCTGGGAAGGGCTAGAGGGAGGGGGTTTGACTCTTCCCCCCCCCC